GATTTCATAGTCTGAAAACTCTGCTTTCCCTACAAGAACTATATGCATGAGTGTGGAGCTCCTATCTCTGGGACAGAAGCACAGGATCATGCAATCAATCAGGGTGGAAAAGACCTTTAAGTCCAACCATTGCCAGCACCACCACAGCCACCACTAACCCATGGCACTGAGGGTGTGTGAACACTTGCAGGGACGGTGACTCCCTGTTCCAATGCCTGAGCACCCCTTGGGGCAGGAATTGTTCCTCAGCTCCATCTAAACCTGCCCTGGTGCAGCTTGAGGCCGTTTCCTCTTGTCCCATCCCTTGTTCCTTGGGAGCAGACCTGGCTCCATCCTCCTGTCAGGCAGTTGTAGGGAGCGATCAGGTCCCCCCTGAGCCTTCTCCAGACTGAACCCCCCCAGGTCCCTCAGCCGTTCCCCATCACACTTGGGCTCCATTCCTTTCTCTGGCCCCGCTCCACCACCTCAATGTCTCTCTTGTAGTGAGGGGCCCAGAGCTGAACACAGGATTTGAGGTGCAGCCTCACCAGTGCCCAGTGCAGGGGGACAATCGCTGCCCTGGTCCTGTTGGTTATGCTGTTTCTGATCCAGGCCAGGATGCTGTTGGCTTCCTGGCTGCCTGGGCACAAGCTGCTGCCATTAAACCCAGCCGTGAAATTCAGATGCTGCTTTTTTAACCTCTGTCCCCATTTCATCTACAAAAAGGGGTCATTACAGTTTCCTTAACTTTACTTGGGTATCTCTGAGACTCCCAACCCTAGTGAGACATGTTCCATCTCCCATTCTCTTCTATCCTGCTTCCTTACTCAAGCAAACACAACCTTCTCATAGAATCGCTGAGAGGTTTGGGTTGGAAAGGACCTTAAGATCATGCAGTTCCAACCCCCTGCCATGGGCAGGGACGCCTTCCACTAGACCATGTCATACAAGGCTCTGTCCAACCTGGCCTTGAACACCGCGAGGGATGGATTTCCAGCCTCCCCTTCCAGTGCCACCCCCAGTGTCATACAAAATCCCAGGAGTGAGGAGAAACAGAAGACAGCTCTGGTTCAGAAACCCATGCAGGCATTCCACAAGGATAACGTCTTTATCTCCAGGCTTTCCTTTTTCTCTCCCTCCCAGACCCTCTTATCTCCGCTAGAAAATGTTCTCTCTCCATGCAGGTGAGCTATCACAAAATCCCTTTTTTAGTCAACCTGACAAAGAAAAACAGAAGGCACCTACAGGGATTTTAATTAGAACTTGGCATGCTACATGCATTCAAATAGGTAAATCCTTCTGCCCCCCACCTCCAGTTTGCTGCTTAAGTGACACCTCTGTGCTTCAAATCCATCCTTTGAAATGTGGAAGTCTCTGGTAACTTTTGAAGCTGCAGCAGAATAAACCCATGGAAATCTTTGGTAAGGGAGGAAAACAAAAGCCTCCCAGTGCCCTTATCTGTGCCAGCACCTGCAGAAAGCCACCCACTGCATTGCACCCCACCGCATCCCACTGCCTGAGAGAGCCACATCTGCTTCGCAGCTCAGCCTCAGACTGCTTCTGCAAGACTGGGCAAAGAGGTGATTCAGAGCAGCCTGAGGAGAAGGACTTGGGGGTGTTGGGTGATGAGAAGCTCCCCATGACCTGGCTTCAGAGTGCGCTTGAGAGCAGACCCCCCTCGAGTGCTGGGCTGCACCCCCAGTGAGCAGCAGGTCAAAGGAGGTGATGCTGCCCCTCTGCTCTCATAAGACCCCACTTGCAGCACTGAGTGCAGTGCTGGTGTCCTCAGCATCAGAAGGACATGGAGCTGTTGGAGCAAGGCCAGAGGAGGCCATGAGAATGCTCAGGGGCTGGAGCAGCTCCTGTATGGAATCAGGCTGAGAACATTGGGGCTGTTCAGGCTGGAGAAGAGAAGCTGTGTGGAGACCTCAGAGCAGCTTCCAGTGTCTGAAGGGGGCTACAAGGATGCTGGAGAGGGACTGTGCATCAGGGACTGCAGTGATAGGACAAGGGGTGATGGGTTCAGACTGAAACGGGAAGTTCAGGATGGAGATAAGGAAGAAGTTCTTCCCTGTGAGGGTGGTGATGCACTGGCACAGGGTGCGCAGAGAAGCTGTGGCTGCCCCATCCCTGGCAGCGTTCAAGGCCAGGTTGAGCCTTGAGTGACATGGTCTGGTGCGAGTCATCCCTGCCCATTGGAACAGGATGATCTTAAGCTCCTCTCCAACCCAAGCCAGTCTGATTCTATGGTTCCTAGCACTGCAGTGAATGAATAAATACAGCCAAGGCACACACGGCTTCCAGCTTGCAGGGTGTTTAGAAGAAAGGCTTTGACTTCATTTAAACAACAAAAGGCAACGTCCACTCAAGATAGTCATGAAGTTAAGGAGAACAGACAACACAGCCCAGTGAATCAGTGAATTATAATACACCCCAGAACTGGAAGAGGTTTGGGGTCCAAAGCACGCACACCTACTTAGCTGTGGGCTGAACTCTGCGCCAGCAACACAAGAAGGATGTGCTGTAAAACACCAGAGGATGTGCACAGAGCTTTGTTAATTTCCACAAGGAATTAACTTCCAACACACTGCAAGCGCAGGCAAGCCCAAAGGGAAGATCCACATGAGAGAACAAAGGGCAGGAGCAGCTGTATGACCCCACACATGCCCTACTCTCAGCTGACAGCTTCTTTGCCCCCTTGCAGCAACTTGGGCTGCAGCAGACTCTTGCAGCAGTGAGTCCACTGTCTTGTGCTCCTTCTGCTCTTTCTTTCCACATCGGGCCACTCACACCCAGTAGTGATGTGGTCTGGCTGAACAGCGTCACCAAAACACCCACTTCTATCAGAGCATCATCAGAGCATGCGGCCATGGAAGGAGCAGAAAGCAGTAACCCCAAAACAGCAAATAAATACAGCACTGGGTCAAGAATAAACCAAAAGGAACAAAAAAAGAGACAGGAATTAAGGCTTTTAAAAGTTAATAACAGAAGGGTTGTTCCCTGTTTGCTCCCTGCAAGAACAGTGCATCATCATGTACTCTGCATGCTTGCTTGTAGAAGGGCTCAGAGGTCATCATCAGCCTTTTGCTGGAAAATGCTCCTGATGGGGCTTTATCCCAATGAATAGTGTTAATTGTGTACAGCAGCAGCAGCAATTGCTGTCAGCACCGTTTTCTCTTCCTCCCCTTTGCTTTTCAATGCTAGCAGCAGCTAGTCCTTAGCATCCTGAAATGAAAAGTATGACTCTTGTTCCGACTTCCCAGCCTCCACCCCAAACACAGGGTGAATAATGACACTTGCAAAGGATGGCCACCGAGAATGGACTGGGGATTCCGGCCTTGTGGTAGCATCCACATCAGGATAAAGGCTTCTACTACAGATAGCAGCTATTAAAAAGCCTCTGTAGTGTTCAGAGGCCCAGCTTGAATCCCCACGCAGTCGTGCCTGACAGTTGACCTGTTCTGAATTATAGCTGCCCCGTCTCTCAACTGAGATAAGACTTTTTATCTTGCCAGCCCTTAGAATCCTCTGCTGATAGGCACATGCCTGCCCTTTAACTGCAGTCAAATCAAGTTTTCAGCTCTTTTTCTATGCTACAGAGATTTCCATATCACGCAGCAGTAGAGGCACTGCTCAGACAACAGACAAGCAAAGAGCAGGTGCCATTAAGCCTTAACATACAGAAGGGCATCAGAAAGGCCTCTTTTTGAGCATGACAGGCAAATAGGGTGCTCCTCCCATGTGGGTTTCAATAAGCATCATGCTTATTTTGCCCAAGCAAAAGGCAAGCCACACTGACCACAACTGAAACTGTGGCTGGAAAAGGGAAAACATTCACTTTCATAGCAAATAACTAACCCTCCATTAAACAGAGACATCAACACTGACACTGCACTGCTCGGAGCTGCTTTAACTCGTCTCAACTTAAAAGACTTTGTTTCTTAGTGAGATCTATCAGCTGAACCCTCAGTAACTACACACATTCCCCATGGTTTTAGCACCCTGGTAACTGAGATGAATGAAGCATCCCCATGTCCTAAGTCCTTTGAGTAAAGAAAGCTGTTTAAGGGGTTGGAACTGGATGATCTTAACGCCCCTTCCAACCCAAACCATTCTATGATTCTATGTTCAAACCCCAAACCCCACTGACACTAAACATGGAAAACTCACACCAAGTTCAATGCTCTGATTAACCTTTCTTCACTTCCCAGCACCAACCACTGCACTGTAAGGCAGTTAGAAAGTCACCTTCACTGACCCTTGGCCCCTCAGATGAAGTAACACACCTTAGGAACTACTGGACCCTCATCATTCACTAACTGCCTTTCATCTTCAGCTCGTTTCAAGGCAGAACAAGCTCTTGTCCCAACGGGCTCAGCACACGCAGCCAAACCTCCTCTGTGTTTCTTTGTGATGCCTTCTTCCTCAGTATTTGGGATTCAGAGGAGTGCAAAGAACCAAGCACAGTTATTCCAAAAAGCTTTGAATGTGTCTTAGGGAGAGAGATGGGCAGCAGCATCAGCCATGGATACATGGATGCTTGGAGACACCAACTACCCCACAGGGACACAGCAGGGCTGTGGAAGGAGAGGAGAACAGCCTCTCTGCTTGCTGCTTGGCTTTTGTTGCCATACTGCCCCTATCAACACAATCTCAGTTCCCATGAGAGCAATCCCACCAACACCTGAAAGCCCAGTCACCGCAGTCTCACCAGTTCTTCTCAAGAAGGGCCAAAGAGACTTTCAGATCTCACTATGAGGTAAAAGATCAACTCTGAGAGATGGAGGAGAACATGGTCCAGTAGTGAATTATCCCTGCCCATGGCAGGGGGCTGGAACTGGATGATCTCAAGGTCCTTTCCAACCCAAACTAGTCTGGGATTCCATGATTAGCATTAAAATCCTGTAGCCCCTCCAGAACTCATGGGTTTTTTTTGTGCATAGAACTTAAAAATACATATATATCACCTACAAACAGTGTTTGGAGATACAGGGATGCTTTTCACCACAAGAGGTGCTCACTTGTTTGCATGGGCTCCAGAGGAAGACACAGCCACTCGTTTTCAACTGCACAAGCTGGGGCAGATGTGTCCTACCAGGGGAGGTGGTTTCTAACTCTGTTCATCTGGTCCAGTGAGTGGAACATCATAAGGAGAAACTTCAGGACTCTATAGAAGAAACAAGGTCACTTAAGTTCCTTGGCTCAAATGAAGGCAGCATTTGGAGGGGGGGAGCAGAAACCAACCCACCAGTCCTAATTTTAAACAGAACCATCAGGTCACAATCATCTCTAACCTACATTTGGGTTGGGGAGGGTGTTCTGGTTTGGCTTTATAAAACCAGTCTAAAAAGCTTCACATTTAGGGTCTGAACAGCTGAATCGGGTGCATTCCAAACACAGCAGCCTTAGAGATAAGCAAAGCTTTGCAGAACTTGTGTGCATGAAGTTATTGCCAACACAGCTGCTATGCTGTCAAATGTGGTTATCAGGGGACACAAACCAGCTCATTCTTTGCCTCGAATCCTGTCCTTCATCCTCATTGTGAAATCCAAGCGCTGTCTACTACTAACAGTGATGTGTTTTGCTGTTCAATAGCCTGTTTGCACTTACAAGCCAGGTTAGTTAAGTGCCCCCAACATTTGCAGCAAAGAACCAATAATTGCCATCATTTGAGTCTATTCTTCACTTCATATTCCCATATTTACTGCCAGATTAAAAACATGGGTCAGTTTTGCTCCCATCTTACTGAAAGGCAAATAATGGATGTACAGGAATGCTTGTTACTCCAGCACTTTCCTCAAGAGCCCAACCAGAATGCTGCTTTCCTTTAGACACATCTCTAGCTGCTGTCAGATGCTCCATGAGCCCCATTTATACGCAGGCATCCTCGTGAATTTGAGTCAAAACACAGCCCCAGAACACAATGATGACTCTAAAAGACCTAAAATGACATCCCTGCCATTGGTGACAGGGCAGCTACAAGGCAGCAGCTTCACCACGAAGGGTAGGAAGCACAGCAGGGAGTTGTTTAGCAGCAACAGAGATGTCTTTGAGGAAGCATTACCTCATTCGCCTCCTCCACATCCATTCCCAATTGGAATGAGGATATGAAAGCCATACTATTCAGAAAAGACAAGAGGCAAATGAAGGCACACAGCACTGGGAAAGCAGGGAGGCAGAAGGACCTGCTTTCCCCACCCAGCTATGTCCCCCTGTTGAATAGCTAGAGCCCAATATTAAGAAAACATACAATAACAACTAAAATTGCCCCACTAATTTAAGAGAGGGTAGAAAAACCCCACAAAGAACATCTCATAGTAGAGAAAAGGCATTTTAGGGCACCTTAGAAACAGAGAGATGCTTTTTAAAGCACACAAGGGCCACAGAGGCTTCCTCTTCCCCTCTCCCCCACACCTAATGTCTCTCAGTTGTACACGCTGGAAACATCTAAGCCTCAGAATCTAAGGAAACAATTGTCTTAAAGAACAAATTTGTTCTTTTGCTTTATTAAAATGAGAAGGCAGAAGGGGGAGGGTTTGAAACAGATTCTGAAATGGGAAAGCAAACCAGTATTGGCTCCCAACCAGCCCTCCTGAGAGCACACTTTTCCTGCACTACATAAGCAGGTTCTAGCTCCTCCACAGGTACAACCATAGAATGGTTTGTGTGGAAAGGGATCTTCCAAGCTCATCTAGCCCAACCCCCTGCAATGAGCAGGGACATCCTCAACTGGACCAGGTTGCACAGAACCACAGCCTTGAATGTCTTCAGGGACACCCACAGCACCACTGAGTGGAAGACAGACCCATCCTGAATCTTCTGCCCCGCTGAACCCATGAGGTCTCCATCATTCCGGGACTCCAAACTTCAAGAGCAGTATCACACTCCCAGCAGCACCAAAACCCCTGGTACATACGTGCACAGGATTCACCATCTCAGCAGCAACTCACTCAAAAGCCTGCAGACTGACAGATTCACACCATCACAGAATCATAGATTAGTTAGGGTTGGAAAGGACCTTAAGATCATCCAGTTCCAACCACCCTGCCATGGGCAAGGTCACCTCACACTAGACCATGTTTTAACTTCCCCTGTTTAAGAGGTCCACATAGATGTGAGTTTGTAACAGTCCTGACAGAAGGCAAACCCACAGCTCTAAAATGGACTTTTCTGGATCCTAGGTAAAGACCTGCACAGCCCATGAATCAAAAATCACCCAAGCCACAAAGAGGAGGAAGAAATGGAGGGAAAGAGCATCTTGCATATTACTTGCAACAACAGAAGATTTAAACTGAAAAGCAACAGTTACTAACACATGGCACTCAAATGTGCAAACCCTGTTAAACTACTTCGCTGTAGTCTCAAATTACTGACAGGAGTGATTCCTTATTAACTGATATTAATTGTGCAGTGCTGGTGTCCTCAGCATCAGAAGGATATGGAGCTGTTGGAGCAAGGCCAGAGGAGGCCACGAGGATGCTCAGGGACTGGAGCAGCTCCTGTATGGAGCCAGGCTGAGAACATTGGGGCTGTTCAGCCTGGAGAAGAGAAGCTGCATGGAGACCTCAGAGCAGCTTCCAGTGTCTGAAGGGGGCTACAAGGATGCTAGAGAGGGCCTCTTCATTAGGGACTGTACAATAGGGCAAGGGGTGATGGGTTCAAACTGAAACAGGGGAAGCTCAGGTTGGATATAAGACAGAAGCTCTTCCCTGTGAGGGTGCTGAGGCGCTGGCACAGGGTGCCCAGAGAAGCTGTGGCTGCCCCATCCCTGGCAGTGTTCAAGGCCAGGTTGAGCCTTGGGTGACATGGTCTAGTGTGAGGTGTCCCTCCCCCTGGCAGGGTTGGAACTGGATGACCTCAAGGTCCTTTCCAACCCAAACCAGCCTGGAGTCCTTTGATTCTATGACAAGGTGCCCTAAGTCAAAGACAGCAGGGAGAAACTCTCAGCAACAGGAGGATGCTGAAAGCATGTGTATGATAACACAGCCCTGCTGTTCACATCTCCACTTGTGCCTCTGTGTGTGCTGCAATTACCTTATTTCTATGTATAAATATAAACAAAACGTAGGATTCACCGTGGGCACAACCAACATTTATAGAAGCTGAGGCTGCATTTAGCAACCCTGATCTGCAATTAGCGCATCCTGGTGGCCTACACAGAAACCACATTCACACATTCCAGACACAAACCTGTTCTCGAAGCAGCCCATAATGACATCCAATTGCTATATCACAAAATCCCAGCTTCCACCTCTCATACTTTGTGAATTTAAAGCTGAGCTAAAATGAAAAGAAGAAACAAGTTAGTATTCACCTCACAGAGCTGTATTTACTCATCTAAGCAGTTGAGGTGTAGTTAGCATCCTTCCCACCATTTAAAATGGTACAAATGAAGGAGATGGGTGGAAGAAAGATGTTCTAAAACACCTCCTAGGGGGAAAAAAGTCAATATATACAAACACAAATTCCTCCTTCATTGATTCACCTGAGAATCAGAGTTTATTTCATTTCCAGACACCCACATCCAAGCCATGAATCAGTGTGTTTTCTGGCTGAAAGCCAGCGCTGCAGTTCTAGTTTCTGTGACAATATTGATGCCTCAGCACTCCATAGTCTTACATATAAAGGGATTCATTCAAAACAAGCAATTTGGAGGGGGGGAGTGGAAGTCTGGGCAAGACCATTATAAAAGAGACTGCTCAAAAAGCACTCCTGTAGAAGTCAGCTTGCTGAAAACACAACCAGGAAACAGGGAATCCATCACAGGAGCTATTTCTGCCACAGGACACGGCGCAACTTCCCGAGTGCCTCTCTCGGTAGTAGAACCTCATTTCTGGAGGCTTCCCCTTCCATCTCTTCTCATGGCAGCTAATGCAGAGGAAAAGGTCGTTTTCTATTTATTTTGATTACTTTTGCTGGAACATCTGTTTGCTTCTCTCTGGAAGAATGCACTGTTGTCCATACACATCCTGACCCAGCTCTGCTCCAGTTTCAACTGTTTCCAAGCTGAAAACCCACAGCATCACAGGAAGCAAAGGGAGCACTCTTGGTCACGGGCAAACACTTCTGTCTCCTTTGGCATATTCTCAACGTGCCACTAAACAACAGACTAATGCATGTCACCTAAGCGACAGGAGCAACACATGCCACTCATTCCCCTGAGAACACACTGAGCTGGGACCCGCAGGAGCAGAACACCTCCTTGGGTTATGTGCTGCTCAGCTACAGCGTATTCCTTTGGCCTGGAGCTTTGGCAATTCATTCCCATGATGACAATAACCACCACTTAGATGGCAGAAGATTGCTTATTTGCCATCTAATTGGGTTTAGACAGTTGCACTGTCATTTGTGCTCCTTAGAAAGGACTCTGCTCTTACTTCATTGGGACTGTACGAATCAGCGCTACCCACGATCCCTCAGCAAGCCCCAAACGTATTCCCCCATCCCAAATCATTCATAATAGAAGTTAATACCTTACCCTCAACACATTTGTTTTTCTCTCTGGGGAAGGCACTTGTGCTGCAAAGGACTTTACTGCAGAGTGCCTCTTTGCATTATGGCCTCAGTTTTGGAGCAGAGAAACATCTGGCCCTCAGCAGAAGTCTAATAAAGGACTGGTGAGTGGGTTTTTCCTCTCAAAAACAAAAGAGGCATAAAATGTACACTAACTAATGAAACTGCCGTTCCTTCAATGAACTGCTGGCTCATTTAGTCAGGCTGAACACCTGCCCCAAACCATTAAATAGCTTCCTGTAATCTCCTGGAGTCCTGTTACCGTCTCCAGAACCTGTCCTCAACACCTGCAGCAACCACGCCGCAGGAAAACCATGCTTTAAGAACCCAACAATGAGCACTAATCTCCATCTTTTCTGTTTTAAAGCTTCAGAGCTGGAAAAGCACTTCCTCCTAGCAAAACCAGGCAATGATATCAGAGACACCCATGAAGGGCTGGTAACACAAAGTACCCGATCTAAGTGCGAGTACATGCCTCCAGAAAAGCCTCATAATCCCAACCTTTTTAGTGTCTCTGCTAGATTTAAAGATTAATGCTTTACATAATTCAATAGATGGTATTTTGGAGTTTCAGCAGTGGATTCGCAGAGCTAAAATTACATAGAAATAACGGGGCAAAGCAGTTATTATAATACTCTTATAACCTTGTGTCCCTGGACTGG